AGAAAGAATGATAACAAACAAAAGTGGCTCTTTTGTTACCTAATGTCCTTTGCCATGTTTCATTTATTAGCTGGATAGTGCTGATGCACACGAAGCATCATTCATACTGCTCTGAGAGAAGTGAACATGGTATTTCTGACATAATCATTTTCATTTTAAAATCAGGACATTCTAAAAATGTTAATGTGAAGAACTCAACCCTATATAATAAATAGCTATAATATGCAATGACCCTCACTCCATCACAAGATGGCTGCACCCACAGTGGAGGTAGGGTTCCCATAACGAGCTGTAATGAGTGATCAGCAGGGACCTGAGGCTGCGTGGCATCGGGCCGGGATGGAGGACCTGAGGCCACGCCCCCGCACCCAGCAGGGCTTGATGGAGGACCTCAGCCCGCGCCCCCTGCCCAGCGGGGCTTGATGGGGGACCTCAGGCCGTGCCCCCTTCCCAGCGCCGGGCTGGGGGACCTCAGGCCGTGTCCTCAGCCTGGCGGGGCTTGACATGGGGACTGGCTGTATCTAGATCTAGCCCAATGGGGGTGGGGCCAGCCGGGTCTGGGTCTCGCGCAATTTTGAGGCACACATGGGTGGGCAAGGACTTGACTCTGGGTCCCGTGGTGCACCCCAGACTCTGACAGGAAGAAGATTTTCAAATACATTTTACTAATTGTCTTTCATCTCCAACACTTCTATTATAGAGAAAGGGCAAATAGCAATATTAAAATATTTCCTCTAATTAATTCTCTTTTAATGTGCATGAATTTCGTGCACCAGGCCACTAGTTGTAAATAATGATGCAATGAACACAGGGGTAGAAATCAGTGTTTTTGTTTTCTTTGGATACATACCCAGAAATGAAATTGCTGGATCGAATGGCAGCTCTATTTTTAATTTTTTTGTGTGGAATCTCCACAGCTTTCCATGGTGACTGCGCTAATTTACAATCCCACCGACAGTGTGCGAGGGTTCCCTTTTCTCCACAGCCTCCCCAATGCTTGTTATTTATTGACATAGTTAATTTTCTGAAGGCCTTCTTGTTCCTACTAAATTATAAGCATCTGAAGGGCAAAG